TACATACATACATACATATATACATACATACATATACATACAAATATATACAGATACATACATACATACATATACATAAATACACATGCATACATACATATACATACATACACATACATACATATAGATAAATACACATACATACATATACATACATACAGATAAAAATTTGAGTGGTAGGTATATAAATGTAAAAGTTGTGTAAGATAATAAAAACACAAGAATTGTGTGGCTTGCATATACATTTAACCCAAAATAAATAAATAAATAAATAAGTCCTTTTCGTGCAAGAACCCATAAAGCTAAACCCCACCCACCGACCAGATCACAACCACACGATCTGATCAGACGGTCACGAGACAAAAATTTGCTACGCTTCGAAGTCGAAATTTCCGCCTATTTCGTACGCCACTGTTCGGGAAAACAAAGCCAGCTTTTTGTCTGGCTATCCTCTTCCATTTCGATTGCAATTCCTTTCGGGTTCTCTTCTTCTCCCACCGAGAGGCAATTAGGGTATAATTTGTTATCTGCAGCAAGCTCGAGATGGCTCTCCTCCGATCCTATGTAAGTCCTTGATTCTTCTATGGCGGCGGGATTATTGAGTCAGTGGAAGCTGCTTGATTTTTCTTTTATTGTTTTCCGATCGTGGTATTTTGAATTTTGGTTGGATCGTGATCCTACTTTGTTTCTTTCTGTGCTGGAATTAGATGCTTTTTGAGTTATTGATTGTGGATTCAGCCGCCTTGGCTTGGCGGGGGCATTTTGTTCGGCGATGCAATTTTTTGTGCTTGAAGGGTGTTCTTACGTGATCAAGTTTGTTGTGGGAGTTTGGGAGGAAACTATTGGGCGGATGTTTAGGAGCGCTCTATAATAGGCGCATGTTGTGATTCTTGTAAATTGGCTTAATATTTATTGGGTGTGTCAAATTCTGCAAGCTATCTGGTTGTCAATTTCTATCTGTAAAATGAGTTGAATCGTGGAAACTATTTGGATGCAAGCATGAAGATTTATTATTAAATTGTTTACTGCTGCATACTCAAGTTCTTTAAATCCTATTGTTGCAAAGATTTTCTGAATCCGTGATTTAGGTTTAGATTTAATAAGTGGCACCAAATTCTTCTTTTATGAAGTTTGGGATTTAAGAAATCCTCAAACATAATTTTTGGCTGGTTTTAAGGTCAGTTGTACCTAATTCCTGGCGAAAATGGGGTACCAACAGTAAATGGGATAGATTTTTTAGCTATTTTCTGGTTAGAAAATTGAAATGTTCAATTTTCTCTTGATTGGTGGTAGCATTATTTCATGACTGTTGAGTTTGATGCATAATAATGACCTCTTGATAAATTCTTCATCCTGATGGCATGGAGGAATGCCATTATTATATGCCTTCTCTATTGTTGTGTGGTAAATATATTACTTTATGCACGCTAATTTTTTAAATTCAAAACATTTGTTGTTTAGTGAACCAATTGATTTTCTCTTCTTTTAAATTTTGGTGTCAGTATTTCCTGCCCCTTGAATATGAGGTATAGTATGGTTCTCTCGATGAATTATTTGTTAATGGTTTGGAGGAAGGCTGTTTTATATGTTCCCAATTGTTGTGGGGTAAATATATTAATTTATGAATTCTACTTTCTTATATCAAAAGAGTTAATTCATTGAACATTTTGTGTATGTTCACTTCGTGTTTAGATCAATTCAAGCAAGATTAGTGAATGCTGATGCTATCTTGTAATCCTGCCAGACTGGTCTGGATTTAATATAAATATTGTTTGTTGGAAAGGAGGCTAAATAGAAAGTAATTGAATTATTATTCATTGTGCTAGCAAGAATATGGGCTGTGAGGGAGTTCAATTATTATATTAAGAAAAGGATTCTGAAACAAACATTTAGTCTGGGATTAATAACATATTAATCAGTTAGGCTCATTCTCATCAAGCATGTATTGTCAGGTACATTGCTAACGGGAGTTAAATAGTTACTAAGCATCACATCGAAGCTGTTGAACTGTTGTCGAACCAAAAACAAATTGATGATTCCATTATTTATAGATTCCTAGTTAAGTACATATTTTAAGATAAGGAAATTTCAATTAATTATCTAATTACATTTTCTTAGCTAATTAGATGCTAATTATATTTAATTGGCTAGTTAAATTAGATTAGCTACTTGTTTTTGTCCGCTTAAGTACTAACTAGTTATTATTATTCTACATCTTCCTCAACTTTATTATATCACATTCACTATTTGTCATGGTATGTGAGAACTTTTGGCGCTGCTGTTTATTTAAAAATATTGGGGAATTTACATAGATATCACCCAATTTCTTTGTTTTTACTTATCTAACACCTAAACTTTACTTTTTTGCATTTATGCCACCCAAATCCAAAAATATATTGGTGTGGAAATACAAAGTAATTAGTGTTCTTCCCTTATCTTAAATTTTTTATTAAAAAATGAGTTTAACCATTAATGCATTTTGCCCAAATTTTGTCCTCTTTTAGTCCTTCCTCCCTAACAAGTGGTATCAAAGTCAATGGCTCAACTTAGATTGAATGGCTTATGAATTCTATGGATTTTGGTTGCTTTTATCATGGTTGCACAAGGTTTGAGAGCAGGTGACTCATCCAGGATTCTTGTGGTTGAGCAAGTTTTCGATGCATGAACTTGTTGATACTGAAAGAAAAAAACATTTCATTTGACGAATGTTGGCCGATCTGGAGTGCTCTCATGTGAGAGGAAAATTGTTCAAACACGTAATAATTTTAGTTTATTCCAACATGTGATAGTTAAAAAAATATGTTGATGTAGAAATACTAAGTGCTTTGCCCTCTTACATGGCCCTTACTTTTTGGATTGAAAATGAATTTGTCTCTAGCCAACTTTTGTTCGTTTTTGTTCAATCCTCTTTGATACTATTCCTTTTTTAATGTGTAATTACTACATCAAATTTGATTCATCAGAAAATATCTCTATTGATATATTGAAAACATTGTTGTTGAGTTTACTCAGTATGTAACACATTTTTCTGCTGTGAATTTATTCTTTGCAAGCTTTTTATTCATGGATCTCTATGAAGGATTTATTTCGAGGGATATCTATCCTATTTTGTTTCTTTGACTCTACTGAAAAAATGATTTGGTTTGAATTCATGTTATTTTGATATGCTATAATGTTCCACTATTCAATTTAAGCTCCTTGTTCGTTTGTTTTTAACCTATTTTGTTATTCTGGTATTCTCTTTATTCAATGTTACTGTTGTAGTTAATTAAAAATATTCTGCTCATTTGGCACATCTATAACCTTAAGGGATAAAATGCTATCTACTTTCTGTCAGCTAGAGAATCATCGTTTTGTTGTAGTTCATTTATGTACTTGGCGTCTAAGCCTGTTTGTCCTTTGCATTGTTAATCTATATCATTGAAAGGCTGTAAGCTCAAAGCAAGTAAAGACTTATGAAATAAAGTTGCAGTTGTTTGTCAAATGTAGGCCTTGAATTTTTTCTTTGCCACCTTTTCTATATGCACACTTTTCTTCTTTTTATCTTAAGGCATTTGTTAGAAATCCTTAAATTCTTGTGTCTTTAGCTGGAATTTTAAATCCTCTTAGATAAAAGTAAATTTAGCATAAATAGATTATGTAACTTGCTTGTAAGGTTTACTGGCTATATGGCCTAAATTTTGTATATGAAGCTGAAACAAATTTCAATTGTGCAATCATATATTATCTTTGTTTTGTGCTGTGATGTCATATTCTGGCACACAATTATTAGTACTGATGTTTTTTGTTATGTCGATTTGCTGATTACGCTTCAGTCTTGTTCATTATCTGGGATGGGTGTGGCTGATCACTGCAAAGACATATTCTTAGAGCTTCAAAGAAGGAAGACACATCGATATGTTATTTTCAAAATTGATGAGAAGCTAAAGGAGGTTGTTGTTGAGAAGACTGGTGGCACCACGGAGAGCTATGATGATTTTGTGGCTTCACTGCCTGAAAATGATTGCCGATATGCAATCTATGATTTTGACTTTGTTACCCAAGAAAATTGCCAGAAGAGCAAGATATTCTTTATTGCTTGGTAATCACTTCATTTTTGTTCAAACACTATAATTTATTGTTTTTATTTCTGCCGTATTCTGTGTGAATGAGGTATCACTTTCTGAAATAGTTGCATTATCTCTTAAGGTTCATAATATATATGTTGTTTATTTGTCCATCTCTTTGTGACATGAGCTTTAAACTATCATGTTTCTTCAGTCTAAAGCATAAAATGTCATCCATCATGTGCCTGGGCCTAGTATACTGTGTGATAAATATACTATTTTTGGAAGGGAAAAGGAACCTGTACTAAATTTGTGCATGATAATATCTGTAGATGGTAACATCAAATGTTCTGTTTTTTATTTCAGAGGCTGCAGCAGAATATGTCCTTTTATTGTTTAAGCGAATGTTTATAAACTATAAAAGAACATTACTTTTGTTAATCCTTCTCTTTATCGGATACTTATATGTATTCTTTCAATTTACCTTTCTTAATACCCATTATTCGTAGATGATGCATAAATGTTTTAAGAAGATGATTAGTTGTGGGGTCACGAATTTCAGCCGCCATATGCTTCTGTTGCATGGGGTTTTGGAGTTACTAGGAACCATTTCTTAGAGCGACTGTTGTCCTAATAAACTTTGGCTGTGATTTGCCAGGCAAAACTAAAAAATATGCTTAGTGATTCATGTACTTGACCTTAACCATGCTTAATGTTGGCAGTAATTGAGCATAATAACTACTTTGTATGCCTTAACAGTTCAGCTTAGACCGTGAAGTCCATTAAAGGTGGTTGTTAATTTACAAATTTGAGTTTTCTAGCGACTCTTCTGCCGATAAGCATGGAATTGTTTTATATGGACAGCTATATGGCATTCTCAAGAATTTAGATGCATCATTTATTAGTGTGATTCAAATTAAATAACTTGAAGCTTGTCATCAAGCTGCCTACTCTCATTTAAAGGGCTCTCTCATCATATAGAAAATAATAGGGGCAATACAAGTCAATATTTGAGTAATTTCAGCAATCAATTATAGCCTGATAAAGGATCTGTTATTGTATTCCTAACATACAAATATTTATAGCTATATTAATTAATTACATTGATTCTTCAAACTCCTTTTCAATTTAGACTGGGTTAATCCAAACTAATATTTTGCTAATCTTTGTTATTAATATTTGTAGCATATTTGCATTTGGCATACTTTCAAGATAAGAGAGTATCAGAACATTTACACCTTAGTACTAATACATCTAGATTTGCAAAAAGGAGAAGGCAAGATGCAATTCAAATTATCATCTTGGTCACTTCTTGTCTATATATAAATGTTCATGTTCTTATTGATTTTACTAAATATAGATTTTTCTTCGTTGTACTTGATATATAAAAATACTTGATGGCATATGAAGGAAGCGATCCACGCGTCTTGGAACATCTATGGAGGTTTTCATGGACTAAAAATTTTGTAATGATTCTTGCTTGATGCTCTTATTTCTATGTATCTTTCATTGATATGCTCATCAAGTTTCTTCACCAAAACTCCTAATTTTCTCACTTTGCCATGTTGAAGTTAATGAAATCAATGTTAACATGAACTCCATTAATTGCAATTTTCCTTTTTTAACATGTCTTCTATATATAAATGGTTTCATACGGTCATGTTTATGCTCATGGTCTCATTTTATAGAACCTAACACTGAACCAGGTCCCCATCCATGTCACGAATTCGAGCCAAGATGCTTTATGCGACATCGAAGGCCCGATTCAGGTGGGAGCTAGACGGAGTCCACTACGAGATTCAGGCAACAGAACCTAAAGAGATGGGCATTGAGGTTCTAAGGGACCGAGCACATTGAATCAGACTGGGTAAGCTTTCCTGAAGCCCCTTTTTTTCTGCCACTTATGAATCAGCCCCTGACCCAGTTCTGTGGGCTGAGGAATGGCTCCAACAGTGCTCTAGTGCAGTACAGATGCTTACAAACTTCTTATGCTGCTTTAATATTTGTGTATTTTATGTATATGATGGATATGGATTGGGTTTTTAAACCCCTTAGAGACTAAAAAATAAAATAAAATACTCTTTTTTATTTGTATTTGTCTACTCATCCAAATATCCTTTATTTATTTTGTTTTTTTTTTTTTTTTGTCTAATTTTAATTTTTGTTTGATATGGAGAGGGGTTGTTTGGAAGCTTAGCTAAGCTAAAATAATCATGACTAGGGTTTTTCTGTGCATTGTAATAGCCATCACCTTGTAAACAGAATGTTGTGATGAAGAGGTAGTTCGCCAAAGATCTAGAGGTAATCTCCTGGCTAAAAGAATTTTCTTTTTGGTGCTTATAAAAGCTTCACCTGCCCCAATAGCTGATTTGTCTTCATAAAAACTCAGAATTATTTCTTGCTTATGACCCTTATTAAAGAATATTGGATTATTGCAAGGTTTTACAAAACTGATTCACTTTGCTAACTAGATAAGTCATTTATCTGGAAACGCGAACCGTGGGGTTCGACTCGCGTTCCGCGTTTAATGTAAAAAACCAACTTTTTTTTTGGATATGCTGCTTAAACGCAGTTTTTAAACGGTGAGGCGACGTTTTGAAAACGCCTCCACAACAGATAAGCCACCCCAAATGGAGCATAATTCTTTGTTGTTCGGCCATGCTTTTGAGCAAATGTGCTCATCTTCTCTATGGTGTAGTTGGGACATTGAAGATGTAGAAAGATGAAGTTTTTAGAGGATAAGAATGATCATATGTGATCTTAGTTATGGACTACTGGAGGTAGTGGAGGGGTCTTAGCCATTAGTATAGTTGATTGATGGTTATTTGTATTTTATGAAGGTGGATGATGCTCACATACTATCTTGAGAAATGACTAGTCCTTCAAATTTAACTTGTTGGATTCAAATTTGTTCGGGTTGTTATTAGAAACTCACTAACAAATATATAACAAACCTCATTAAAGTGAAAGAGATTGAATTAGAGAGGTCATGGGATTTTGCTAGATCTTTCTTATTTAGTATAAGCCGATGCAACTTGAGTTAATTGGAATATGTTAGAATATGAACCTTATCTTATTGTTGTGATGGTTTTGATGTTCAACACACCGTGAGATAATACTTGAGTAATACAAATAAATTATATAACAAGGCTTGCCAATATTTTTTCTAAAATAAGGCTAGCTAAGTGATAACTGGATAATTACATGATAACTCTAAAGAGCTCTAGGATGGGATTCTTGAGAAGATGTTTCTATAATCTATGTTGTTTGGTTTGCCTAGGTACCACTGGTGATTGCTTGTAAACTTATTGTTTCTTGTTGCATTGGTTGAATCAATTGTTGGATTGCTTGGTTTGCTTTTAGAGCTTATTAGGTGATGTTACTTGCAATGCCTTTTAGAGCTTATTAGGTGATGTTACTTGCAACGCACCTTATAGTGGAGGGGTTTTAGTTAGAGCTTATTAGGTGATGTTACTTGCAATGCCTTGGTGACACTCTGTGTTACAATCTTCACGCGGGTCGCCAAGTGGGTGCTCTAATAGTCTCGGTAGGTTGAGTGAAGTCAACAAGGTTATCGTTAGGCAAGTGAAAACCCACGGGGCTTGGAACAACCTCTATAGTGGCTTTCAGGCCTTTTCTTGTATAAGTAATGACAAAACTTCATCTCCTTGGGGCCATTATATATAATTAAAAATTACCCATACAAATTGAAATACACAAATTAACTAGATAATTATATAGACGTTATATAAATTATTGTAGTTATTTGTGATAAATAATAATTTAAAAAAATATGTCCTATTACCCCATCATATGATAACAAGAAATATCACAATCTGGGTTTGGAAGGCGGTACATTGTGCCAACACGGGGTGTGATGAAAGAATGTGAATCGATTTTGTATTCACAAAAGCAAAATTATATGCAAGGAATATAAATAATAAAAATGAATAAGATTGATAAATTTTATTTCACTAATTCAATTGTTGCAATGAAAGAATAACCAAGAAATAAAATGGCATCTACTAAAAGTAACAAGGAAAAATGATAACTACAAAAGTAAAATGACTCAAAGCCAAGAAAAATAAAATCAAATTTAGCAAATAACTAATATTTATTAAAGCATAAATAGCAAGATACTGGGACATGCTGTATGGGAAATAGATAAGAGTGAGCTATTATTATTATTATTATTATTATTGTTATAGTTATTATTATTATTATATATGCATATTTTTATTTATTTATTTATTTATATTTATATTTTTGTTATCAATTTCAGTTCATTTTATATCTACATTTTTAAATACTTTGAAGTGAGGAGATATTGGTCAACCCATGAAAATTCAATAATTTCTTATAGAGTCATTATTCTCTGGGCCCATTGGCCCGTCTAGCTAACATTTTAAAAAGTTGTGTCGACTTACACACAATTATTTATATTTCAAGCATGATTATCACAGGATTGAAATCTACTACAATTAATAAGAAAGATGTGTAAGAAAAAAAATACGATTATAAAATTTAATGTAACATGTTGAGATAGGTGCAACAATAAATTAGGATAAATGTGCTTAGGAAATTTACTACCCACGTTAATTATGCAAGTATATGTGTCAATCAAGTAATATTTATATTTTGAGTTATCGATCTCACAAAGTACTCGGTTAAATCTTTAAACTAATCTAAATATTAGTCTACAAATTCTTTAGTTTAATACAAATTTTCTAATTTAAAATATTTTCTAAAATTTCTAAGAATTTAAAGTGAAGGTTAATGGTCTTACTGTTGCTAATGTAAGAAAATCTCATTTGAATTGAATTTTATTAAAATTCTATCTTCAACCACTTCATTCTTCTTAATTTGTTGACAATAATGGATTATTACTTTTTAAACTCTTTTGATACGTAAGAAGCATTAAAGTCTCATATTATGATTAAGTTCTCTTAACCCTACAAAGACTCCTAAGAATCTATATTCTCCTTTGTGATTGCAATCTCTGAATAATAATATTCCTGTTCTAATAAACTAATTAATATTTTAACTTAATTACTCTTATAGTTTTCCTTTGATAATCTTAGATCACAATTTATTTTAAAAAGTCAAATAACTAATTTGACTATAACGTAAGGCTAAAAGCTTAAAACATTAATATGTCATGCATTTACTTTAGGAATCCCACAATAAATGAACAAGGAACTTCACAAACCAATTCAAAGTCGAAGAATAATTTAATTTTTGCTCATGAGTGCGTTAAATTACAAAGAATACATTGATAATAAACAAGGTTTACAAATGAGGAAGGAAAAAAAAAACACACTGATAGATCTCTTCTCGTTCCAAGCTAATAATCTTTCATAATATGCTTCTTCATTTATTTCACCATCACACCACTCACTATGATGTGTACTGCTCACAACACTCCCAAAAGTCTCCCTCAATACTCGAGAATACTTTTTATATAAAAATCCCTATTTTCAAATTGTTAAAAATGTCAACATCATGTCAAAACCACCTAAAGCCAGCATAAGGAACTAGGGCACTGTGATGTGGCATCATGTTAGTCCAGTGGGCGTTAGGGCATTATATTTGGGCATCGTAGTATTGTTTGCTAATGTTGTAAAAGTTGGTCACGACGTAGTGTTGATCAAAATTTAATCCATGGGCATTGTTGATATGGAATTAGAGCATTAGAAACATGACATCGTGTCTCTGTTCGTTAGGGTTTGGTGTTGAATTGCGAAAGTTTAGGCTCTATGATGTTGTTCAACTAATATTACTGTTGCTAATGTAAGAAAATCTCATTTGAATTGAATTTTATTAAAATTCTATGTTCAACCACTTCATTCTTCTTAGTTTGTTGGCAATTATGGATTATTACTTTTTAAACTCTTCTGATACCTAAGAAGCATTAAAGTCTCATATTATGATTAAGTTCTCTTAACCCTACAAAGACTCCTAAGAATCTATATTCTCCTTTGTGATTGCAATCTCTGAATAATAATATTCCTGTTCTAATAAACTAATTAATATTTTAACTTAATTACTCTTATAGTTTTCCTTTGATAATCTTAGATCACAATTTATTTTAAAAAGTCAAATAACTAATTTGACTATAACGTAAGGCTAAAAGCTTAAAACATTAATATGTCATGCATTTACTTTAGGAATCCCACAATAAATGAACAAGGAACTTCACAAACCAATTCAAAGAAGAAGAATAATTTAATTTTTGCTCATGAGTGCGGAAAATTACAAAGAATACATTGATAATAAACAAGGTTTACAAATGAGGAAGGAAAAAAAAAACACACTGATAGATCTCTTCTCGTTCCAAGCTAATAATCTTTCATAATATGCTTCTTCATTTATTTCACCATCACACCACTCACTATGATGTGTACTGCTCACAACACTCCCAAAAGTCTCCCTCAATACTCGAGAATACTTTTTATATAAAAATCCCTATTTTCAAATTGTTAAAAATGTCAACATCATGTCAAAACCACCTAAAGCCAGCATAAGGAACTAGGGCACTGTGATGTGGCATCATGTTAGTCCAGTGGGCGTTAGGGCATTATATTTGGGCATCGTAGTATTGTTTGCTAATGTTGTAAAAGTTGGTCACGACGTAGTGTTGATCAAAATTTAATCCATGGGCATTGTTGATATGGAATTAGAGCATTAGAAACATGACATCGTGTCTCTGTTCGTTAGGGTTTGGTGTTGAATTGCGAAAGTTTAGGCTCTATGATGTTGTTCAACTAATATTATGGTGTTAGGCTAACTGTGTTCGGGTGCTTCAAACTAGCACTACAGTTCCATGATCTCGAGTTTCTGTCCGCAAATTCCAAACTCATGCACTGGGGCACTATTCCATTGGTGATGTGGTGACGCCACAATGCTATCAGTGTAGTGTTGGGGCGTTTGTCTATAATTTTACACTTTTTCTCCCAATAAAAATATAATCAAAAGTGTAGGAAAAACTATAATTAACTATTCCACTTTGAACACTCATCGCAAGACAATATGTCTTCTTGATATGTCCTGCAACATACTAATTTTTTTTATATTTAATATTTTTTT